CCCAAAATGTTGAGCGCTACGAGCTCATTAACGGGAGAAACCCGGATGGACTGCAGTGGGGCCCGGTCCTGGCCAACTGGGGCCTTCCTCCGTGCACAGTCGTGGAAACCCTTCAAAATCAGCACCACGTCACCCTCTACACCCGGCCAATAATAGTCCCGTTTAAGGGTCAACAAGGTCTTGTGGTAGCCAAGGTGGATAACCTTCTCGTAAATGGCTTGGGTTAATTTACCTCGCAGGCTAGTGGGCATAACCACGCAATAGCGTTCCAATTGGGCATCCCAACGCATGAGGAGACCGTCATGCACAGCGATCGCCGGGGCAGCCGACGAAGCTGAGCTCCGGGCCATATGCCCAACGCGGCATCGTAGCTTCAGCAGAGAGGAAACCTCCATCTGCAAGCTGGACCATACCTCTCGGAGGAGTCCCAGGCCGAAATCCACAGGCAACGCCTCACCTGGAGGGGTGGCCGCATCGGCCGAAGCAACCAACTGGGCCACGGTGTCCCCTGGGGCCTTGCAACGGCTAGGGCACAAGCACACCTGCCGCCTGCCGGCAATCTGGAGAGACCGTCCGCATTCCCATCCTGTGCCCCCTTTCTGTGGATTATGTCAAAGGGGTATTGCTGGAGCACCTCGAGCCAGCGGGACAGCTGACCCGAGGGCTGGCCAATCTGCAGCGAGCATTGCAAGGCCGTATGGTCGGCTCGGACCATAAACCGTCTGCCGTACAAGTAGGGCCTATACAACTGCACAAAAAACACGATGGCAAGCAGTTCCCTCCGGGTCACACAAAAACGCTGTTCCATCGGGAACAGAACGCGACTACCATAGGCCACCACTCTCTCCACCCCGTCGACCACCTGGGCCAGGACTGCCCTAATGCCCATGTCGCTGGCATCGGTGTCGAGGAGGAACGGTTTTGTAAAATCCGGGTACCCCAAGGGTGGCGCATCCACCAAGGCCGTACGAAGCGCCGCAAAAGCGGCCTCCTCCTCCACGCCCCAGTGAAACTTTTGGCCTTTGGCGGAGAGCGCGTGCAGCGAAGCGGTACCTGTGGGCCCCCCGGCAGGCGCGATGTGTTGCAGAGCCGAGGCGTCGCAGGCGGCCAACCCCGCAGGCGCGGCGAGGTGCGGAGCTGCGGCAGTGACGTACGGAGCAGCGGCAGCCCCCGCGGCAAGCACTGGCGGCGCGGCGAGGTGCTGAGCCGCGGCGGTGATGTACGGGGCCGCGGCGGCATCCGCGGCAAGGTGCGGAAACGCGGCAATGCCCGCGGTGTAGAGCGGCGTCGCGGCGGCAACAATGGCGGCCGCTTGCGGCGTCGCAGCCAAAATGGCCACCGCTGGCGGCATCACAGCCAAAATGGCGGCTATCTCCCGCGGCACATCCGTTGGGAAGATGGCGCCAGTTTCAAAAGTGGCGGGAGGTGGATTTGCGGGAATCCGCCGCTCCCATCCCGAGCGTGGGCCGGGTGACTGCAACTGCGCACCCACCTCAGTAATTGTGGCGGAGAGCTGCGTCATCACCTGCAGGAGCAGCTGTAGCTGCCCTGCAAAGGCGCTACCCGCCTCCGGCGGCGGCGCGCTGGCACCCCGTCCGCCATCTCCTCCTGCTCCATCTGAGTCTTCTCTCCGGGGGCCATCTCCGGAGCCCCGGACTCCGGGGTCGCTGCCGGAGCCTCCTCCATGCCGTCTTCACTCTCTAAGCGCCCCGTCGGTAGGTTCTTACGCCGCGCGCCCGATTTTTAGGCACATTGGTATTTTCAGAATGGAACCCTGAATTAATTCATGGTGGCGTGATTGTTTATGTATGAATATATATATGTGAGTGGAGCAGGTGTATTGTACAAAAAGTATGGTACAATGTTGATTATGGTAAGCATGCTGTGTAATGTTGTGGCTGTACCGTAGTTAGATTATTTGGCACATCTGTAGCGACATAAATGGTCTCACTATGGTGTAGCGACAGTACCGGGTGAAGAGTGGTACTGTATGTGCAAAGCCTGTCTCTAGCACTACATGGAGTATGCCATGGAAGGGCTCGAGGCGGGTCATGGTCCTGGTGGCAGTGAGAGAGAGAGGCCGGGTGAGGACATAACAGTCTGGGTGAACCCGAGAGGGCACGTGACCGGACGAGGTGGTAAAGAGGACCAAAGAGGAGGTGAGAGGGACACGTGATGTGGGCCCCGAGTCTCCAAGAAGGATCTAGAAGGGGGTGTTGCCAAGAGTGGAGCCTGGCCACGCCGCAAACCATAAAGGCCGAGTCCCGAGAGTGATCGGGGCTGTTCATCTCTGGGAAGGAATCCTCCATCCGGTCTTCGCGCACGTGGACCAGGCAGCGTGTTAGCTATCCTGGTCTGATTAGTAGTTATCCCGTCCAATATGTATATAGTCAGCCGTGGTGGTCACCACCCTAAGTTATTATCCTGCTAAAGTAAACAGTTACCCTGTGGTATTAGTTAATAAACGTGTTGCCTCCAAGATCAAGTGTGCACCTCAATTGAACCCACTACACATGTACAACGTTATGAGAAGATTTGAAATAAAACAGTCCCAATTATTTTACATTTGCCTCTTTAACTCTACATCAGCGGTCGGCAACCAACAGCTCCAGAGCCGTATGCAGCTCTTTAAGGATTGCATTGAAGCTTTTGAAATATTTAGGGTTTTTTTTACCGAATTCAAATAAATGGCTCTTCTTGTTATTTTGGTTTCCGACCCCTGCTTTACATGTGTAGTGAGTCACTCAGAGACACTAGTCGTAGGAGGCACTCTATTTATTATAGCCTTCACAGGTACAAGGAGTAACTACACTATGGTCATGACAGCTAACAGGCTGCCTGACTAATAAGGCCGAGGAGGTGAAGACGAAGACTCCAGCAGCACGACGAGTTCCACTACAAACAGCCCCGAATCTTCACTTGGGGTCCCCTTTTATCCACCCAGCGCGGCCTCGCTCCTCCTTCGGCCACGCCCCCCTTCTAAAACCCAATAGAGGTTTCCGGGCTTTACCTCATATACCCCCTCTATCACCTTTGCCTCACATCCCTTTCTCCGGCTTATCACATGACCTGTTGGCAGACAGGGCTGCTACAACTGCAGATCCCCTTCTCTGCCAGCAACCAGTGCTACGCACTATAGTGACCCATTCCATTTCACTACTCATGCACCCTGCCATTTTCATGGGTTTCCTGTGCTTGCCATGGAAAGTGTGAAGTTACTGCTCTTCTTCATTTCTTCTAGACTCTGTACTTTTTTGAGACCGATTGACCACTCTAGTGTAATAGAGATCACCTGATCCTCAATTCGTTGATGTTACTTGCAGCTATGCCAGACATCCTTCTGCTTAAAAGACGCAAAACGTTGGTTTGCTAAATCCTGGGCACTGTTAGACCTTGGCAAGGTAAGGTGATTTACCCTTTTTACCGGGTAAAAGGGTAAAGGTGTCGACATGCCAAGGGGTAAGGTAAAGGGTAGGGTAAAGGTAGCTCGGAAGAATTACCCAGTAGGGTAAAGCTAGTGCGAAGTATTACCCGGTAAATACAGTACCTTGTTTACTGATAAAAGCTCCAGTGGCGCAGTCTGTGGCTTCCATTTAATAAGTAATATTTTTTTAAACTTTTTTTTAACACGCTTTTATGAAATGTACGAGTAATGGCAGAATTCCACGACTCCAGGAAGTGGGCCCCGAAGCTTGCCATAACGTAAGGGACCGTGGTCAATTACAGCCAACGTCAGTTGAGCGTGGACAATTAGACCCAAGCCGAAACATAATATGTAAAAAATAATGTTTAAAAATATATTTGTTATGTTTTTATGATAGAATATAGGATTGTCATCAGTATAACATAAGTATACCAATTTTGAAGTCGATACCACATTGGTAAGTGGGTAAAAATTTAATTGCAAGATTTGAGGATACAACGACAACAACAACAATCGTGTTAAATTGGATTCATCGAGAGTATTCTATATGAGTAAAGCACTCTACCCAGCATTTACCGTTATAAACCTTTTTCATGTGTAGTAGTACCCCAGTAATTACCCTGTAATCGGGTAATTTGTATGGGGTAAGGGTAAAAGGTAGGGTAAAGGTAGGCTCGTTGCTTTTACCTTCTACCTTACCTTGCTAAAGGGTAAAAGGTAGGGTAGAGTGATTGTATTGTGGTAAGTAAAAGGTAGGGTAAAGGCAGGCTCGTTGTGTTTACCTTTTACCTTACCTTGCCGAGGCCTAGCACTGTTTACGTCAAAACAGGCAGGAAATCTGTTTAGATGCTCTTGAGAGCCCCTTCGAGCAGCATCTGGTAGCTTCATTGAAGAGCCGATGATCTGGCGGTGTGCCAGGCTTGCTGGCAACATGCCCAGATCTGCCCTCACAGGAAACACTATACAGTATTATGGTTTGCGTGACAGTGTTGTAGCAAGTGCCCCTCCTCTCACACTCCACCCACAACCCATCGCAATGTTCTCTTACACTCTGCTCCCAAACTAAAAGTAGTAAAATGTGCAGGACTTCTACTTTATCCAGCACACGGGCAGGCAGGATGCTGCCTGGTACCAGCAGTGATTCAGTCTATTGGTTATGCGTGCGGCTGCAATTCAGATCTGCTATGATTTCACATGATTGATACATTCTGACCTGTTCACCTCGGGTTAGCAGGAGTTGAAATCCATATTTAATGCCCTTGTGTAACTGAGTCGGTGTGCTTCGAAATGCTCAGGCTGCTGCATATTTGTGCGTGCAGTGAACACGTGCTCCTGCAGCGTACACAGAAATAACAAGATAACATTTCCCTGCCCGACGCATGTCCACTCACATAATTCACGGCCAAGTTGTTTGACCTTGCCAATGGGAGGGCGCCAATGAAGGATTTTTTTCCGTGTGTATACGACTTGCAACCTTGTGCATAGTTGCATGTAAACATGTTGGCTGCAAATACACGATTGGTTACTCGTTGCTTCAAACAGCCTGTTGAGTGAAAGCATGTGAATTGTTGCTTAGATCTGGGTTTGTTTGGAAGCTGTTTGGAGACAAAGCATCCGGCAGAGGGGAGACCCTGAGACCATCCCAACGCAAGCCCACCCTCCTCTCTCAATTCAAGGTACACAGCAGAGAAGTGCATGCACACATCCGTCCTCGTACACACACGTAGGCAAACAATAATTCATAAAACTTGCACTCCGTTCCCATTTACAATAACCAGACAGTATTAGCATGCACAACAACTCATAAAATGCAAAAAATGTAACTATAAATAAAAAAGTCCTTGCTGTTTTCGACGCTTAAAACATTTGGCCCTCTATTACAGTATGTAACGGTCACCTCAAAGTCTCCACAGACACGTACAAACCACTTGTACAGTTATATAACCACAGGCCTGCCTTTTCATCTCTAAAGTAGCAGTGGTGTCTGTTACATGGACTGGTTTGGTCTGTTGCATACCAGTAGGCACTTGCACCCGCCATCAGTGCAGGCACGCACGCACGCACTAATAATGTCCACTTACGAAACAGTGACGCGCGTCATTGGCTGCCTAGTGGATGGAACACCCTCACGAGTCCCGGTACATGCCAGCTATGGTAATTCAGGCCCGTTCTCTGGCTCCCTTATACTTAAAAATATAGGGTGCTTATAACATTTTTTACACTTCTGAGAATTTGCAACAATACCACAATAAATGTGCATCCGGGCTTACCTGGAGAAGATTCCAGGCATGTGTTGACAATAATGGCGAACAAGTGGAGACTCTTTGACTTTTTGAAGCTATTAACAAACATTTGTTATCATGTTACAGTGTATTATCCGTTATTTTTCCATAAATGATAGTCCCATATAAGTGTTTACATAAGGGGTGACAGAGATAGGCCAAGGCTCTGATTACACTGAGCAGTACATGCTGTTCTGCACAAGGGGTAGGTGATGCTCATGATCTCAACACGGGCCTTTGTGGTTTTTCTCTTTGTCATTTAATCTGCTGCTAAAGAGTTGTGTGGATATTGAAATAAACTATCATCATCATGGGGTGGCACAGTCGTTAGCACACTGATTGCCAGTCATAGCTAATGTCAGTGGTGAATGATATTTGAACCATTTCTTGGCCCACCTTCACCCATACTAACCAGCATATTGAAGTATGGACAAAACAATCTCCATGACCCACAGGGTATGGGGAGGCCCTCATCCACAGTGGTCTGACAAACCTGGTTGCGACACTGCTCAACATAATTTGATCTGCGGCCACCTATCATTGCTCTTGGAAGCAGTAGTCTCATTGGCCCAGTCCCTCCAGGTGTCAAAGCCCTCTGCTCTGATTGAGGAATTACCACATCTCTCCAATGGGGCCCAAGGGTATAGTGCACCCCCAATCCAACCATGCCAACACCATCCAGCACTCCCACCTCCTGGCACAATACCATGGCAAATACCACCCAATATATCAACTCCATCATACATTTATATTACCACACACAGCATCACATACTTGTGCCAAACATCCCATCACCAATATGCCACCATCTCAAACTTACTACCCACTACCCATATCAACCACGAACACAAGGCACGCCCACTGGCTCCGAGCTCAGAATCGCTGTGCCTGCATCAACAACCTCACCACAACAAAATCTCTTTTAATTCTCTTCCCATATATCTGAAATCTGGAGGGTCTCATACTTCCATCTTTGAAACATTTTCCACATCGGCCATTTCTTTACCTCATTTGCTGCTTAGGCACACATCCATACCTTCATCACATCCCAGTTTGACTACGGCAACTCTCTCCTAAAGGTACATAAATTTCTCACCTCCAAACTCCATATGATTCAAAATGCTATTGCCAATACTGTAGTCTTATCTCTTTCCCGGCTCCCATTATTATCCCAGATCAACTTCAAGATTTCTCTCACCCTCTTCAAGATCTGCAATTGACTCACCCCTGCCTACCGCTCCCATCTCATCTCACTCTACTTCCCTCCACACACTTTTCACTCCAGCTGCCGAGGCTTTCTTCGCTGAGTGAGAGTTTACTCTTTCTCCTCTGCTGCCCCCATTTTCTGGAACTCCCTTACCCCAGTCATCCGATTTAAAATTAATATGAAAATAAATAAATACATTTCCTTTTTCTCAATGTTTGGTTCCCTAAGCTGTGGTTGCATTTAGATGCTCTCTAAATACTAATTATATAGTAAAGGTGAGAACATGGCCCAGTGGTAGCATGTTAGTTACTTGCTGCAGTGGTTCATGGATGGAATCCAGTCGCCACCCTGATTAATATTGTGGGTATGTAAATCATCTGTCAGTGGACACTAGCGATTCCGTGATGTCAATCGCAAGAGTAGGCCATTGTGTGCTGGCATCATGGTCCAAATGTTAACAATTTCAAAGAATACCTGCAAATTACTCAATTGGAATATAGATAGCATTCATCACCACCCTCCTGGAAAATAGTCATGAGGCTCAGAGAGGCTTTCCTAGGTAAACAAGCATAATAATAATACAAAATAAAAATTATTACTGTTTTTAATTCATACCATAAAATATTTCATAAGTGAAGACTGGTAAAGGGGAACATGTTTATATTGAAACAGCACTACGAACCCCCAGTGGACAGATGATCAGTGTCTGTGCTGCAATTAAGCAACAAAATTCAGTTTGTTTGCTTTGAGTGCATTAGTTATTCTTGGTATTTTGTTATTTTTAAAAAAATATCTTTGATTTGGGCCAACATTTTTTGTGAAAGCATCTGTTGCAAATGTCTATTCAAAATAAAAGTATAACATTCCACAGCACGTATTAATTTGGTTAAATGGGCTTTTATAGCATGAAAAAGAGCATAGTGTCTCCCTTACATAGATTCTCTATTGTGTTACGGGCAACACACACTAGTGTGTGTTTATTTTGTATACACCATATTTGTTGTTATAAGGTCAACTTCTAAGCAATAATAACTGTCCAATAATTGTCCCAAAGGTATGCATAACTACACTCGTACCAATGTTGAAGGCACATGCAGAACATATCTTTAGCGTTCTTGCAATTTAGCGTCGTGTTTACGATAAGCAGCAGCTCAAGAACCATTGTTTACAGGGTGGTGACTGTGCTGCTGTTGTTGTTGCTGTCTGTGCCCACAGGATTCTCTGCGTGCCCTCATGGTCATGCTCAGCTCTGTGCACCCATTCTTTATACGATGCATCAAGCCCAACCGCCACAAGGCAAGTACTTGAGCCTTGCGCCAGACATGATACACCATTTTCCTTTGCAAATTACATCATCAGGCATGTTCTGTGCACTGCTGCATGAAGGCCTCTCCACACAGTTACCATTCTCCATGCTCCACGATGCCACAATCCATCTCACTATTTAACTCGATATGATCTCATCACCCTGTCTCTTTAGCCGTTTTCTCTCAGGCACGTTCCCTCCTTTTTGCTGCCATTCTCTCAAAAATCTTGTCCATCAACCATCATCTCTTCCAATGATATGTCATGCACAAGCCCACTTATTTTCCATGACAGTTAAGTCTCTCATTTGTGTTTGTTCCCTGGTCAGTGTTCCTAAGTTTGCTTCTCAGTGCAATTCCCAAAATACATCTCTCCATACTTTACACACTTTTCAGATTTTGTTCCATTTTATTTGTCAGAGTCCATGTTTCGAAACCATATGTATTAGCAAGTCATATGCACTAATGCCAGATGTCACTCCTAAATAGAGGAAACCACTGGCCTAAATGGGAAAACAGTGGCTATATCTATATATATAAAATCGTTCATGTCTGTGTGTCTGTGTGTGTGTGTGTGGACTGCACTTTCATTGGACGGCGGTTGCCCCTGGCAACGGCTAGCCACGCCTTCGCCGCTTTCATTGGACGGCGGTTGCCCCTGGCAACGAGTAGCAACTTTTCTCCGCGGGGTGGACGCCATTTTTAATAGCGCGGGGGGGGGGGGGGGGGGACCGGCACCCGTACCCAGCGTTCGCCGGGTGGGAAAATCAGGCAAGGCGGGAGGCTCTGCACGGTGCTAGGCCTCGACACCCAACACGCCACTCTGAGGTAAATTCATACAAATTTCACGTCCTCTACAGAGTGGCGAGGGAGGCAGAGTGGCGAGGGAGGCAGAGTGGCGAGGGAGGGACTCAGCCTCAAAACGAGTAACTGGTGTGGCGTATTAACATCGCCACTGGGGAGACAAAGGCGGCCGGCCGTGGTGGATACAAGTCCCGGGCGAAGCCGGGTAGTACAGCTAGTTATTATATAAAAAACAAAGCGGGACCCATTTATTAAATGTGTTTTCAAAATGGCAGACATAAATGATGTGAAGAATTAAAGACCCGTTAGTCTCTTGTCACACATATATGTCAATGGTTCATGAACATTGTAGAGAATAGAATAATGGACAATCTAAAGTCTAAATAAGATTCTCTGAAAGTCAAATTTACGTAAAATGCCATTATGAATAGCTGATATAAGCTATGGAACAGCTCCACTGAGATTAGATTATGTGCAAAGAGTAACAAAACATAAATCATAAGAGGAGCCAGCCAATTATTTCTGGCTATCAACAAAGATTCGTTCATGAAGCCATCCATATATCCAGACATAGACACAATTTCAACCGAGAGGATTGGTATAAACTCAGCAATCACGGAAAGGATGTTATCAACCAGTTTAAGTCATAACTGGCTGTAATGTTTCCATTTTAGCACTGCACGCTGCTCACCAGTTTTTTAACCCCTCACATCAACGTAACCTTCTCCGCCCTACATGCGGAGGCACATCGTTTTTTAATCCCTCACATTAACATAAGCTCCTTCGCCCATGCTGCTAACACTGGAGTTACGCCCATTTTAAATATTTACAAACAGTTTGCCTTTAGAGGCTGACCCCTCTTTTTTCTCCTGATGACGACTGCTTGTGTTGCGATCGAAATGTCGTAGATTTTTTGTTACATATATATTTTTTAACCTATCTACGTGACTTTACCAAAAGACCCAAAGAATATTAATTCCTGCAGTCATGAAAGCTTTAAGTCAAGGTTTAATGATATATAAAGATGATAGAAGATGCATTGTTTGGCTGATGTTTGTCATGATTGTGGTATTTTCTGGAAACAGTTCACAATTGTTTGTTGCCAAGTTCCATGAAGCTACGAATACTATTTTTGCCAACGTCAAGAACGTGCCTTTTTAATAAGTTTAGTGCTCCATAATACAGGTTTTTTTGGGGTTAGATCGCGTAAATATATAAAAGTGTCATTAAAAACCGCTACCATCCGACACAGCCAACAAGTAAGGGGTTGTCACGTAAACAGAACATGCCAATTCGTCACTAGTACAGCACACCGGTGTGTTGGAGAGCCAAGCCACAACATTTACAATCTGGATACGACGTTTCGCCAGTAATTACAACTAGCTTCATCAGGCGACAGCCAAATTTGAGGAGAAGTCTAACTGTTTCGTTCCTTATATAGAGGCGTAGATGTGGTGACAACACTTCTGCGCTCTTGCGCCAAGTGGGGGGGGGGGGGGGGATTACTGAGTCAGCGGACATTATGCAAGTGCATGATGCGAGCCCTTTGAACTTGTCCTTCCTGTCTATTGTGTGTTAAAATAGCCGTACCAACGGCAATCCCTATTGAAGTATGGTGTCCTTTATAGGCATGCATTTAAATAATGTATTATTTCATGATTCGCTTCCACGCAGCACTAAGGAGATAGCTATCCGAACGGTTAAAATTTGTTTTATTTCTTTCAATTTCGATAGATTCTCTAATTAGTATTGGCCAGTAGTAGCTAGTTTTGCGCAGAACTTCAACATTATCAACATCAATTGAGTGTCCTTATTGGCATGCGTGTTCTGCTACTGCTGACAGTTGTATTTGGGAGAATTTAATATTTCTCTTATGTTATTTTAGTCTCGTGCTGATCATTCGTACTGTTTGCCCAACATAACATTTACCACACGTGCAATTAATCCTGTACACACCTTCTCTTGAAAGCCTCGTTAATACATCTTTGTACCAGATATTAATTTCTGTATTTTATGTACCGTGCCAAATCTGACTCGGATGTTTTGTTTTTCCAAACATCTGACTAGTTTATCAGTTACTCCCGCAATGTACGGTATTTTGTTCATTTGAATTGCTTGGGCAGTTCCAATGCTCGTGTTATTTAATTTCTTTTTGGCATTCAATGCCCTGTTGATTTGTGCATCATTGTAACCCTTCATTTGTAGTGCTTCTTTCACATGTTGAATTTCACGTCTCAGACTGTCACCATCTGACACTTTCTTAACTCGATGAATGAGCGTCTTGATAAGAGCAGATTTTTGCGTGGGGTGATGGTGTGACTGCATTCAGATAGGCGTCAGTATGTGTTTTCTTTCGGTAAACACTGTTATTAAATCCTTTATATTAAGTTCGCTTGCTTGCGTGCTTGCTTGCTTGCTTACGACCGTGCAAACCTTTCGGTCGTTTTTTAACCCACTTCCCGTGATCCAATCGAGCTGACATTTTGCACACAGACTCGTTGTGCGAGACAATTAATGTTCGTGAAATTTTTTTTCCAAAATTTTACACTGTTTAGGGAAAACAAATTAAATATTTAATTACCAATTGTTTAATACTGCAGACAATCATCTGACCCATAGGTGGCAGCCATCTCAAGCCAGAGGACGAGAGGACTCTAGCCGCCACGCATATAAAGGATTTAGAGTGAAAAACTTTGTTTTTACGGGTTATACTTATTTTTCCATTTCGACCCCGTCCGAGCAGAATATCCAGAAATGGTAGAGTTATGTCAGCTTCCACTTCCATGGTGAACTGGATTGATGGGTTTTGCTCGTTGAGATGATTTAGAAAAGTGTTCAGTGTATCTTTGTTGTGTGGCCAGACCACCAATGTGTTATCCACATATCTAAACCAAGCAGATGGTTTTAGTGTGCTTGAAGCTATTCCTTTTGTTTCAAAATCTTCCATGTACAAATTTGCTATCACAGGAGACAAAGGAGAGTCCATTGCTGCTCCTTCCTTTTGTTTATAGAAGTCACCTTGTCTCAAAAAGTCGGTGTTCTTTAGACAGTGTTCAGCTAGTCTTGGGATATCTTTGGCTAAACTTTTGTTCGTTATCAGTGTCGAGTAATTTAATTGACTCATTGACCGGAACCCTCGTGAACAGAGAAGTCACATCAAAACTTACGAGAATATCGTTAGGGCTAAGCTTAATATCTTTCATAATATTTACGAGATGTTCAGAGTTTTTGATGAAGGAAGAGGTCCTACCGATGTAGGGCTGTATTTGTTTCGTTACATATTGTGCTAATTTGTACGTGGCAGAGCCTATTGTACTAACTATGGGTTCTTAATGGGACATTAGGTTAGTGAAATTTTGGTAGCTCATTAAGTCTTGGTGGTTTTGATGGCCTTTGTTTGATCAGGTATTGCTCTTCCTTGGGAATTGATGACTTGGCAATGATTGCCGTTGTTTTATGTTCCAAGGTGCTGGTTGGGTCTCGTTTAATTTAAGGTCGGTACCTTCATCGAGTAAATCTTTGATTTTATTATCATAGTCCTTCACGGGGCATCACAACAGTCGATCAGCCCATATCAGCAGAAAGAATTTTGATATCTTTATTTGCTCTCAATTCTCTTAAGGCTTTTGCTTCACTGAAGTTAATATTTGTTTTTGGCAATTTGCTATTCTCAATAATTTTAGCAACCTCATGCCTAGTCATCTCAGCTTGATTATGGGGGAGATGTCTAACTGCTGATTCCACTTCAACAATTATCTCTTCGACAGGGATTGTACGTGGGGCAACAGCAAATGGGTTTTGTGCTGAACTCCACACTGCAGTGAATACACACGTTCTAATGCAATCCACATAAAGTGAATGGGTCTTCTAACAGTCACAAAGGAGTTAAAAGGGAGTTCGTATATCCAATACATGGAACTGGGCAGTGATCGGCCTCGGCTTAAACTCAGGCCCAGTCTTCACTGCCAAATGCTAACACGGTGGTTAACTCCTAATGGCTCAATGTCAGTCATGGCATGTTGCAGGTGGTATGTGTCCTGAATTTCATGGAAATGGCCAATGCATATGTTGCGTTTCTACTGCAGCTCCTTTTGCTACATATGCTGTTATCTGCTGTTGCATCATTTAGATAATTATTGCAATTTTTATGCAGTATAATATATATATACATTCAGCCTGCGTTTAAAA